TGTATACGACGCAGACGCTAGCTCTCTAGTTGTATACGACGCAGACGCTAGCTCTCTAGCTGTATACGACGCAGATGCCGCTCGGCGTTATGTTGTTCGGACCTCTCCCTGTCTCCACCCTCTCTCTCGCTCTTCCTCTCTCTCTCTCTCTCTCTTCCTCTCTCTTTATCGCTTTCTCTCTCTCTCTCTCTTTGTCTGTCTGCCTCGTTTTCTTCCACTCAATATCCTTCTCTTTGTCCTTTACTCTTTCTCTTTTCCCTTTTTCGTTTTCTCTCTCTCTCCTCCACGTTCTCCCGTTCGCTTGCGTTCCTTCTCTCTTTCTCGCGTTTCGCTCTCTAGCTATGGCAGCTGATGTATGCAGATATTGTCAGTAAGAATCGACGCAGCGTCACCGACGTAACCTGAAGCAGACGCCGCTGCGTTTATGCGCGAAAATTCTTGAAACGTTAAACTTAGACTGGCGCGCGAGCAGCACCGCGTAGGCGGATCTTCGTCCGATGTCAGAAACAGCGTGTCCATCTACGTTGTTGGTGACGTTGCCGCGCTGTTGAACTGTATCAGTGCGTGCGAAAATGCCCATATACCGTCTCCCGCTCCTGTATCACTCCTCTATACAACACGGCACGTCACACATCCCGCAGCGAGTCGGCGGCTGTGACGCAGTTGGTGTACGGCGTGCATCGACGACGGCAGGTAGAGATGATGTTAATGTAGGTAACAGCTGTGAGAGCGTGCTCGCGGCGTCCGGCTTGCGGCTGGATGCAGATGAGGAGCATGACGTGGTGGTGTGTTGTCGGGGCGGAGCAAGGTAGCAGATGTCGTGCACCACGTCGACTGACATGAGGTCGTGTCGCTCGTAGATAGGTCGAAAATATGCGTGCGTGAGTGTGAGTGTGTGTGTGTGTGTGTGTGTGCGTGCGTGTGAGTGTGTGCGTGCGTGCGTGCGTGCGTGTGAGTGGGCGTGTGCGTGTGCGCGTGCACAATTCTGAGCGCGAGGCGAGTGTATGGGTGCTCGGTGGTTATTTGTATGGGTAAGTTTTGGGTAAGTGAATGAAGGAGTGGGTGGGTGGGTGTTTATGTGACAGAACGAGGG